GGAGACAGTGACTTCTAGTCCTGCCTTAGGCATGAAAGCTGACTGGGTGACTTTGGGCCAGTCACCAGGAGATGGTGAGTCCTGTCTTAGGGTGAAAGCCATCTGGGTCCAACTCACCTCACCAAGTGGTTGTGGGGAAAATAGGAGGATGAAGGTATGATGGCCACACACATAATTCACCACCTTGAATTTTTTTGTAAAAAAAAACCAATAAAGGCAGGATGCAAATAAATAAAAATGTCCTTCTCTCAAAACTCCCCAGTTCAGATTCTGCACAGACCAAGATAGGATGAATACCTTTTTAGAGAGAGGTTGTGATTTCTGGTGCTTTTCCTGTTGTGTCAGGTGCTGCCCGTGAGCAAAAACAGCCAGATGATCACCTTCACCTTTCAAAATGGCTGCGTGGCCACTCTCCGGACCAGTGGAACCGAACCAAAGATCAAATACTATGCCGAGATGTGTGCGCCGCCAGGGCAGAGGTGGGGAAACTCTTTCCTGTGAACCAGGGGTATCCAAACTTGGGAACTTGTGGACTTCAACTCCCAGAATACCCCAACCAGCCATGCTGGCTAGGGAATTCTGGGAGTTGAAGTCCACAAGTCTTAAAGTTCCCAAGTTTGGACACCCCCCCCCCCCTGCTGTAAACCAAGCCTGATTCCTGGGAGGCTTTAAGCCAAGTTGGAGGGAGTGGGGTAGAGGACAGCGGAAATGGCCTTGAAGGACAGGAGGAAGTTCCACCCCCAAAGCAATGGTCAGATAAATGGGGCTTGAGCCTTGGCTGGGAAAGTAACGTGACTAAGAGAAACCCTTCCCTGGTTCACATAAAAGTAAAGTGAGGGAGGGGGAGGAAGCCCACTCAGACGTTTCTCTAGCTTTACCATAAAAGAAGTCCTGAGCTCTCTGGTTTCTTAGTCTCGACTTCCTTGTAGAGGGGCAACCGTTATTTCTGATTTTGGAAGGACTTCCTTTTTGGATACATAGGGCAGCATATTTTGCCTTTCCCCTCTCAGCTTCCCAGTATCCCAACAACAAGGTTATGGATGGCACTGCTGCAGTGGCAGATGGGAAGCCTGTTGTGGTCTCCTCCTCCTCCCTCCCGTCAAACTCCCCTCCCTTCTAGCACTGTTGAGGTTATCTGGTTGGGTAATAAAATGTCTACAAGAAAACAGCCAGGCTCAGAAATCACCAAGCACCCCGCAGTTCAACCCTGAGCTACAAGCATTGCCTTCTGTTGAAGAGAATATCCTGTACTCTTTTCCGTTGTCCAGCCAGCAGCCCTCTCTCCCCTAACTTGATAGCCAAGACTTTTGGAGGCGAGGAGCCGCACGTGGGTTGCCTGTGGGTTTGGGGTTTTAGAACGAACCTTCCGGTTTGGATGGGTGATGGCTTTCCAACTTTGTTTTCCTTGCTCTTTAGCGATGTCACCTTGTTGGAAGAGGACCTCACGAAGCTCATCGGAGCCCTGGTGGAGCACTTTCTGGAGCCCAGCAAGAACCAACTCACCTGGCGCTGTGTGTAGCAGCCACCACCCCCCTCCCCTCCCCCCGGCCTTGGCTGTCGTCGACGTTATTCCTTGCACCGTGTCCTGCGGAGTTCAGGAACCAAGAGGAAAGCCTCCTCTCCTTGCATTCATTTCATAGGTGTCTGTGAGTGTTTGCTGTGTGAGGTCTCCGTGTCCCTTAGCCAGCGTCCCGAAGCAGTAACATTTTGTCAGCTTAGTGTACCAAGTAGTAAACTGCTTTGAAGCTGGCCAGAGATGCCCTCAAAGAGAGTCAGAACCTGTGGGGGAGGGTCTCTGGCATCATTTCCTCTCCTTCCCCTCCCCACAGCACAGATCAGCTCTCTAAATTCTGTGCTCTACAGAGATCCCTCCGGAGCTGGGAAACAGCTAGATTGCAAAAGAATAATTGTGTGAAGTCTGGGGGGAAAAAAAGAGGTTCTGCTTCTACATCGTTAGCTAGAATATTGGTATTATCTTTACTGTGTTATCAAGTCTTAATTTTTCCAGGGGTTTTTGTTTGTTTGTTTTCTAGCTCATGCTGTGGCATTCAGTAGTCCTAGGAATTCCAGCTGTTTTCCAATCTCCTTTAGATGGTGTTGCTGGGTGCCATTTTCATCCCTTCTGACAATTTTGCTTCTTGACATCAACTGAGCCGTTAACCAGTCAAGACGGGCTAAATCATCTGAGGTTTTGATCTATTCTGCGTTCTTCTGCATGTAGTTGAGCTAGACTCAGGTGAATAGAATATCAGCTATTTTAGAATAGCTGATAGGGGCAGTGTCAGACTCACCTCTGAACGCCCTGCTTATGAAAAAGAAAAATTTTCACATGAGTCTCATCATGCACAGAGACTCCCTTAATTTGCAAAAATAATCAGTCCTATTTAAACTGTAGAGGTTGGAAGGAAACCTGCAAGCAGAGCTTGTTAATTACTTGCCAGAACAAAGGAGGTTTATCGATGCTGTGATTTATATTAGCAAATGCTGGCTTGCAAGGTTGAACTTCAGATGGTAAACATGGTGGACCAGTGTTTCTCAGCCTTGGCCGCTTGAAGACGGGTGGACCTCAACTATTAGTAGCTGTGCTGGCTGGGGAATTCTGGGAGTTGAAGTCCACCCCTCTTCCAGCAGCCAAGGTTGAGAATCACAGTTGTAAGACAATCTTGATGTTCAGAAGGTAACATTTTTCAAGGAAAGGGATTCTCCTTGGGATATTTTGGCTTGACTAAGATACCCTAGGAAAATGCAGTAGGGTGGAAAACTTTGCATCCAATTGTGTATCAGCCTGCCTCTTCCCAATTTCCAAATGCCACGTTGGCTAGGAGGCCTGTAAATTGAAGTCCAGGTTCTCTCCAGGATACCAAATGAAGAAGATGCATTAGGTAAATTATAGAATATACCCAGTTTGGTGCATTTTTCCATCCACTGTGCTAAGCTGTAGCCCGGGACATCCATGGAAAGCAGAAGGAGAACACGTGGAAAGGTTGGCCTCACCGCAGGGCAGAATCTTTGGCATGGATCATTGAGCCCACAGCTGCTTCCCTCCGTGTAGCTGCATACACCTCGGGCCTTCTAGGTGGCAGAGGTCCAGTGGAGGACTTAACTACAAAGCCTCTTGATAGTACAACACGCAGGATGTTCCCAGTCCTCTTCCTGGAAGAGAACTGAGGGTGTAGCTTTGGTGTAAGGTCAAATTGGAAGCACAGAAGTCCGATGCAGCTGCCAGGGCTACGTGGTAGAATGAATCTATACATGGATTCTACAGCATTCATTGTCATTCTCATTTCTAGCTTCCAGGCAAGATAATCTCAAGAATGATGATTTATTTAATTTTAGGAAAATGGAAAAATTGGGTCTAAAGGACGCCCCAGGGGGCTGTTGTGTAACTGTATGAAAATTTCTGCAGTCACAGGAGCGAAGCAAAGCGTTTTGCACATGGAAAGCACATTGCAGGGATTTTGAGGAACTCTCTGTACAGCAGATTTAAGCTTCCATTGATACAACCTAGAGCCAGATTTATTGCCTTCCTGGGATAAATTATTTATTCTTTGAAATATGGGAAGTGTTAACTCTAGGTCATTCACTCCATGGGCTTCACAGGCGTTTCCAAAGTTTGAAGCTGTGCAATAGATATTCTTGATATATTTTGTCTTCAATTTACATGCAATATTTATTTATTTATTTCGCTTTTATTTAAAGCTTTAAGTACTTCCAGGTTTTCTATACTTTTGAGTGACTGATAAGAAATGTTGTTTTTTTAAAAAAAATACGCTATTGTTTTTCTTTTTGTTTTCTGTATATTTGCAAGTGCTCCTATTCTAGTGAAGAAAGCCTAATTTATGTGGTTGAAACCTTTCCTGGAAACTGTGGATAAAATACGCTTGCTTGAGATCTATAGCCTGATTTAAAATGCCATCAGAAAACAAGAGGAAGGAGAACACAATACTTTGAGACTTTTTTCCCTGCACTTTGTTCTAATTTTGGCAAAGAACAACCTTGCTTTGGAACAAACACGGAAAAAACAAAATTGTTTCTTTTTAGTTGGCATGCAGTCTTTAGAAATGTCTCCTCGGGACAGAAGATTAAAATTTCCAAGTTTATATAATAGAGAACTTATTTAAGCACAAATAGAAAAAAAAAACCATCAAAATTTCCCAGTGCATATAATAGAGATAAGGAATCTCGAATAATTGAAGCACACTGGAATAGATAATAATACCTTTTGTGGGCGAGGAAGAGAATGTGGTTGATGCTCTTATGGAAGTGCCCCACAAAACAGCGTAATATATTTGTTTGAAGCACCTTGCTCCTCAAAATCAGTCAGATAATGTTGGGAAAATATATTTTTCCTCCCTCGTTTTGGCTATCCGGGAAACTTAGAAGAGCAGCCAGCCTTTCATTTGGGAGTCCCTGATTCCTTGCTTCAAAAACTTAAAGAGGAGGATAATCGTTATTTGTAAGACGCCGAGGAAAATGTGTCTTGGTTTGCTTAAAAACGCCTCTTCCATTTTATGTTGTTCATACAATGAGAATTGACTGTGTCTGTTTTGTTTTTTTAACCGTTGCAACTTGTTTTGCCTACATTTTCTTTCCTTTTTGTTTTGCGCTGATAAGGGAATGTTTTCGGCCCAGAGGTGTCCAACCTTGGCACGGCCGTGCTGGCTGGGGAATTCTGGGAGTTGAGGTCCACAAGTCTTGAAGTTGCCAAGGTTGGACACCCCTGTTGTAGCTCACAAAATTCTCTTGCATGCTTCCTGCTGGTCCACAGAGGGTGAAGATACACCCTTTAAAAACAGAGATACAAACATGGGGGCACTATTAGATTTGTTCCGCTTTAAGCAGCAGGAAGGCCTCTTGTCCAGCAAGCAAACCAATGTCTTAACCGTCTTCCTTCTCTCAACTCTGCCGTAAAGTCAGTGGCAGATGCTCTCTTTTGGGACAGGGGAACCAAACGGAAAGTCCCAGCTCTTCCTTGTGAAAAACAGATCCTTTTGGTGCTCTGTTGGCAACTGGAAAGGTTGGTACCTTTCCTCCTGTTAGTGGTGGCCGGAGAGGGCCACCTCTGCAGGGCTGTGTGGCAACCTCACGGAGGGACGCGTCGAAGGGACCCTGGGGCTTTTGCCACCTCTATGGGCAACCCAGATTCTCTCGCATGTCTTTGGCCTCTGCACCAAGGCTGTCCCCAAACCCTTGGGAGGGGTTGGACTCCCCTGAACAAAGAAGCCGTTTGATGTGTGTGTGTGTGTGGTGCATGGTGGTGCTGTGGGGCTTCAGAGGGACACCACAGCTGGAAGGGATTGGGGCAAGGGTGCAGCCAGAGGCAGCTTGTCTACGGAGTATGTTTCCATGGCTTAAGGAGGCAGCATTGCTGCTTCACAAATCACAAGAGAAGCTCCTTGAGGTAGGGGCCACGGTGGTCATTCACACCCGAGGTTGGAGTTTGGGTGGATCTTTGGGCAGGGATCCCACGGGGTGGTTCTCTGGTTTTGAAGAATCGAGTCGGTCTTGTTGAGAGCTTAGAGAATAGGAGCCTGCCCTCCAGGCCTGGTGACCAGATTCCAGGCGTGGAGCTGGCCTTGAAACCTGGGTTTCAGCCTCTGAGAACGAAGACCTCTCTTGGCCAGAGAAGGAGAAGTTAGACCCCACTCAAGAGGTCCTCCACTGACTGTTGTACAAGAGATGGATCTTCCTTCATCGTCCCACAGGGGCTTTTTCAAGAGGCAACCGGACTTTCTGGTTTTTCTCGGAAGGCGTTTTGCTTCTCCTCCCAGAAGCTTCTTCCGTTCTGAGATTCAAGGAGCTTCTTGGAGGAGAAGCGAAACGTCTTCAAAGAATAACCAGAAAGTCCAAGTTGCCTCCTGAAAAAACACCTTTGGGACAACCAGGACCTGGATGACGGAGAATAATCTCCATATTCCTTGATGGGCTTCCACCAGAAGCTTGTGGACCTCGGACCCCAAGGGGCCTTCATGAGAAGCGGCAAGAGACGAGTCCCGGGGCCTCGTGCCCAGAGCCCTTGCTTCTTCACCCCAAAACCAAAGCCATGTA